GTGGATGAGAGTGGCGGAGGACAGAAGGCAATGGAAGGAGTTGGAGGAGGCCTTTGCCAATAGGCACACCGAAATCTTAGACATTTTGTGAATGTTTTTTTTAAGTGAAGAAAGTGTCAAATGTAAAATGTAAAAATGTTTCGGAAATAAAAGGCTTATTATTATTATTATATAAAATGTATTTTTGTTCATAACTTACTCTTGGAAGAATCTTCAATATTTGTTGCCGAAGTTTCATTTTCTAAAGGATCCGCAAACACAATGCTATCCACTCTGTAGTATTGAGGCTGTGGTTCATCTCCTATGCCTTTGAATGGCTAAAACATCAATAAAAAAGTTAATTTCGACTGGCTTCATGATGAATAAAAAAATATTAAAACTTGCAAAACATAATAAAATCTCTTTAAATTTCAACGCCACATACAAAATAAAGTGTTTGAAAACATTAAACCAGATAAATCAAACTTTTCTTCAGTATTAATTAATAATTTTCTTGAAAGAAGAACACTAACATCACAAGGCTGCAGTTCACTATAGCATTTATCAGCACTATCTATGACTTCTATACTTAGATCTATACATTGAATAATACTACTAATATCTGATTGTTCCATATCAAATTACTTTATGCTTGTACTGTAATAATTTTATTCATAAAAATAATAAAATCTAATACGATCCGTACAAAACAATACGATTATTGACATTTTTGGCAAAAAAACTGAACAGGAACAGACGGTCGGTCGATGAGTGACTTTGACAAGTATACTTTTTTTGTGGATAATGTTGCATCATAAAAAATAAAATTCCCTCCACTTATTGATAAAAAAAGAAAAAAATATTAATTTGATACCAAAAATAGAACGATACCATTTCATATAGATTCCTCTCGCCACTTCTTCTCATTCATTGATTATTTATTACGCGTTATCGCAACTTTATACTTATCAACGACCAAAGCAAAGGTGTAATGTAAGTAAGATACCTTTGTTTGCTTTGGTTATTACGATTCTGGATTTCTGGCTCACTGCGCGCGCAATCCCCAGTCATGTGGCGGTGCATATTAATAATAATTATAGCTAATTGATGCCAATAAAACGTTTCTAAAATGTACAAAAGTCCACTCATTTGCGTAGAGTTGAAAAATAGGGCAACATATTAAAAAACCACCCTGTTTCCCATTGGTTCGTTCATAAATGGTTGTACCATTTGATTGGTTACTAGAAAATTTGACTATCTCATGATTGGCTATTTGTTTTTTTATTATTTGATGAATGCGTTTAATTAATGCACCTTAAAAAATATGTCCATGAATAAGTTTAAAATGTTATTTAGTTTAGTTTTATATAAATTTCCTTAAAATATACATGAAAGGTAATATTTAATATTATTTTATATACTCCTTTTGTATAAATTTTCAATCTCCAACATTTTTACGCGTTGTTGATTTTTGTTTGTACTAGTTGTCTTGTCAAATAACAAAACGCTATTTGCTATTCTTTCGTTCGTTTCGGTAGAATGTGCGTTTGCTCGAATTTATAATTATTTCCTTGATTGCATTATTTATTTTGCACGCCTGCGTTGGAAACTTCCACTAAAGTGCTGAGATTGTGATTCTCTGTCACTTGCCAGGGCACCATCATTATTTTTAATTTGTTGCCACAATGGTCGTGATATCGTCAAATTTTACTGCGCCGGTTGATGGGATCCTCTTCCAAACACCATCAACCAAACTCCTCGTGAATAACCAAGAGCTGGGCACAGCTACTTTGTACATTACAGAACAGTAAGTCGCCTATTTATTTAAAGTATATTCTAAATCCCGGAAGCTTTAGCACGTGCATGTTCAAGGTATTCGAAGGTGATACAAATTCCATAATAACGATCATGATATAAAAATATTATCTGCAGTTAGGTAGTTGTAGTTACTTATTTTCGCACACAACAGTTAATTTATCAAAGACTATTTGGTATGTTAAAATCTTGCAGGTAAATTAGTATTATAATAAAGTGTATTTTATGCCAGTATGCTTCCAGCATGTTAATATAGGGAGCCATGGCTTTCATTTATGTTAACAATGTTCCTTCTACTTTTTCTACTTTGTATCTAAAAATCCTTTACTCAACAACTTTAATTCTATTTTACAACTATAAAAATGCCATTTCAGCAATGTAGTCTGGGGTGGAGGTGTTAGGCCGACCGGAGGCCCCGCACCGTCTATCAACCTGCTGTATCCGAGCATATCGCTCCACGCTATACAGAGAGATCCGTCGCCTGCTCTATACATGGTGCTCAATTACGAACTGAGGTATGCGGTTATGGAAAATATTTAATGCTGTCTAATAAGGCTGAGTTGTACGAACTTACTCTAAACGTAACTTTATAACGCAACGTAACACAATAATATACCAGTGTTTTTTGTATGGAGTTTGACAGATTTCTGATTTTGTTAAAGTTAAAGTAAGATTTTCGTATCTTTATTGTGGAAAGTTAGGAATTGTAGTGTTACAAGAATTACTCTACAAAGCTTTATCTTTGTTAGAATATTTATTTACTTTTAACAGCTGGATATTAATTACACTGGTCAACAAAATTTTAACTTTATCGTGCCACACGGACTTTTGTGATATTTTTTACTTTAATTGGTGATTGTAAGAAAAAATAAACAGTTAAAAAAAATTGCTAGACAAGGATTTTATTATATTGAATAATTTAAAATATTAAGAAAAAACACAGATCTCGTATATCAAAATCTTATTTTTTTATAAATGACTTAATAATCTAAGATTTTCTTGATATATTTAGCTTCTGGTTGGTCCCTTTTAATTGTCCAGCAGTAATCTGCGAACATAATTGGGCTCCATAATGCCCTGGTAAAAAGAGTTAGGATCATTATTACACTTCCTCGACATGTTCACAGGGTTAATAAATCCAAAAAAGTGTTCAAATTCAACGACAATTTTTTTTATAACGATTTACTTGTAAGCGTTTCTGTTAATTTACTGCCGTAGTGCTAGTTATGAGTATTACCGTATCACAACAAAGATGAGGCTTATTGACATATGACAACTGTGTTTTAATAATGAGGGTAGATTGATAAAACAAAATTAGCTATCAAAGTTCGTGTGGCAAAACCAGTGTTGACCAGTGTTATTATTTATCATTTAACTGCTTTCCAAACAATAAATTAACTAATGATATTGATTGTTGTAGGTTACCAGAACTTGCACAGGCAGGAACCGGTGATGCAAACGATGATGACGATGACTTTGATGCTGAGGACCAGCCAATCACACAACTTCGGTAACTATTTAAAATATTTTGTAGCTGTTTTTTATATTATGTTTTCCATGAATAATTTTAAATAAGAATACAATTTACGAGAATTACGAGTTTATTTTAAGAGTTTATTATTAAAAAAAAATACACTTCTAATATTGTGTGTCTGGCATAAATTTAGTATGGAAGCTGGAAACATTGAATTTTCGGACAGCTCCAGTTTATTCTGTAACCTATTATGGGTACTGTTTGAAAGAGTTCATGAAGCACTTTCAGGATCTGTAACCAGTTTTTGAATATCTTGTATAGTCTCAGAATAATATAAGTACTACGTACAGAAGTTTTACTTCGCGAAGGTATTTAAAAAATTTATGCTCAATGTCATTAACAATATGGTGTAATTTAGCCTGTCTCAAGAGTCAAGCACCATTTTGTTGCCAAACGTCAGTGATCGGCACTGCGCCGAAGCTATAGGGCTGACTTCGGTAAAATGATGTGACGTGAGGTGCCAAACTGCGGAAAATGGCGGAGGAAATACATGATTTAGCATGAATTATCATGAATAATATTAACTACTTATTTACCTCTCAGTGTCTTGAGGCAACTTAAAAAAGTACATTCTGTGTTTTTATTATTATTTAGGCAGTTAAATACTGCACAGTATTTAGTACACCATTTTCTTTATTTTCTTCCATCATACACAAGAATATGCGTGCGTGAGTCAATGTTCGCTCGTATGTGAGGCCTTGTGGAATAGTATCCTGTAGGTGGGCCATCGTGCGTGTTTTGTTTGCGATGTAAACTTGCGGAGATGAACAGGCCTGGTATAGTTTAGAAATAATCGAGTGAGATCACTTATCGTTTCCACCCTGTATAACCTGTCTTCTCTCGTACTCCTGTAGCTTTGTGCCAAGCAGCGAGCACGACTTGCAGCCGATGTATGCGGCCATGAGCCAAGGCCAGGCGCTGCACCCCGACCCGGCCGACGTGGACGATGACGACCCTTATATGGACGGGGAGGACTTTGACGATGGTGAGGAATCTTATCAAATCGCTTGCATCAAAATCATAAATATTTTTATTGAGCCATCCATTATTCTTACTAACTTAACTAATCAACAAAAACATAACTTATCAGTAAGTACATTGTTTGTTTACACATAGTTTTACATAAATAATAACAATTTGTAAAAGATCTGTGTGATATTGTGTTATTTGCTGATGACACATCTCTCATTTTCAAAGTTGATAGAGGTAATGTAAATTTTGACGATATTAATAACACACTCTCACAGGTTCTACATTGGTTCACTGTTAACANCTTAGTAGGTAACAATTATTTTGTCTTTAAACATAAAATAAAATTGGAAATATTAAAAAAAACACTTATAAAAAATATTTTGTCGTGTAACAAAAAATAAAATCAAACACAAAAACGGTTATTTTGTCCTCAAACTCGAACTGAAATTGGGAAATTATAAAAAAAAAACTTATAAAAAATCAATCATTTTGTCCTCTAACCTTGAGATTTAATTATGCTGTACCTACTTATCTAACAATTTTATTATACTTTGTATTCTTTGATTTGTCCATTCTAATTTTTTACTATTTTCATTATGCACACTGTAATACATATTTTTGTAACTCTATGGTAAATTCGTTCGGATTAACAATACCTGTTTTTTCAGAGGTATTTTGTTGACCAGGCTCAATATCCGACATGGCAAATAGTATTCAATGAGATCACTTAAGTTCACACGCATACAAATATTAAAACACGAAAAATTTATGTAATTTACGTTATGTTCGGAAACTAGCACTTCGCATTCGTTGGTTTATCACAGTTTTTTTTACGTCCACAATAATTTTACATAACTAATTCTATACATAGATATGTTATTTTTAACACGAAATTAATTTATAATCACAAAAACACATAGTTTACATTTAACAACAAACCAAATAACAAACAAATATGGCGAGTGCCGGGGCGGCGGGGGGCACATAACGTTCAACCAATCAGCGCCTGAGATCACAATTTGACCGCTTCCCATCGATAGATTACAATAAAGCGAAAAATAATGCATTAAATTGCAATCATATGTTACGGTTCACAATTTTTCGACAGTTTACAATCTCACGAGATAGATTGTAATCAAACAATGTTTATAATCTTACGGTGACATATACATACTTAAATATATATATTTTTTTGTAAATACATACTTAATATACATATTTTACAAGTAAATACTTAAGTGTTAAAATTCAGTGTCTAAATACCAAAAGCGGCCCAAATATAAAAATGAAACAAAATTACAAAGCTTAAAAATTAAGCACAAAGACTCTAGGTGGAATATTACAAATCTTAAGTAAATTCATAAGTGTTAAAATTCAGTGTCTTTTATGCTAGTAGATATGCTTTTAGCATGTCAATCAATAGTTAGCCATGGCTATCATTCCTATAAGTTAACAATATTCTTTCTACTTTTTCTACTTTATATCGAAAAATCTTTTGATTATATTTTACAACTATAAAAATTGCCATTTCAGCAATGTAGTCTGGGGTGGAGGTGTAAGGCCGACCGGAGGCCCCGCACCGTCTATCAACCTGCTGTATCCGAGCATATCGCTCCACGCTATACAGAGAGATCCGTCGCCTGCTCTATACATGGTGCTCAATTACGAACTGAGGTATGTGGATATGGAAAATGTTTAATGCTATCTAATAAGGCTGAGTTGCACGAACTTACTCTAAACGTAACTTTATAACGCAACGTAACACAATAATATACCAGTGTTTTTTGTATAGAATTTGACAGATATCTGACTTTGTTAAAGTTAAAGTAAGATTTTCGTATCTTTCGAATTGTAGTGTTACAAGAATTACTCAACAAAGCTTTATCTTTGTTCGAATATTTATTTACTTTAACAGCCAGTAATGTATATTAGATTTTTCTTAATGATGGTTTGATATTATTACTAGCTTTCCGCCCGCGGCTTCGCCCGCGTGGAATTTTGTCTGTCACAGAAAAACTTTATCGCGCGCGTCCCTGTTTCAAAAACCGGGATAAAAACTATCCTATGTTCTTTCCCGGGACTCAAACTATCTCTATGCCAAATTTCATCAAAATCGGTTGCGAGGTTTAAGCGGGAAAGCGTAACAGACAGACAGACAGAGTTACTTTCGCATTTATAATATTAGTTGGGATAATCATTTAACTGGTTTCCAAACAATAAATTAACTAATGATATTGATTGTTGTAGGTTACCAGAACTGGCACAGGCAGGAAGCGGTGATGCCAACGATGATGACGATGACTTTGATGCTGAGGATCAGCCAATCACACAACTCCGGTAGGAATTAATTAAAGCATCTTATTTGTCTGTAAATATATTGATTAAAAGATGTTTTTTTGAATTTCCATATAAAATTACTCCATATCCAATAGCTGAGGGAAGAAATATCAATGCATTCAAATCTAAGCTACATTAAGTAAAATTTGACGGTTTTTAAATAGGGGCTTGGACGGATAAACCATTATTTGGTTTATTTGTCCAAGGATAGGAGGTCTGCTGGTCTATGATGATGGCGATGTAATCATCGTCGATTATAGACAACAAAATGATATGGTTTGTGATCAGAAATCGGTTCAAACCCATTTCATTTTGATGATAATTAAGTCAATCTATTGTGCCATATTGTATTCTAGGCTAGCTTATAACCTGTTTTCTCCCATCACCTTTTGTGAGCAGTGTTTTCTTTGTAACAATTTAATTACGTAATAAGAGATTAAACCTGTGTAATTAAAATAAAATAAATTAATCTCCCAGCTTCGTGCCGAGCAGCGAGCACGACTTGCAGCCGATGTATGCGGCCATGAGCCAAGGGCAGGCGCTGCACCCCGACCCGGCCGACGTGGACGACGACGACCCTTATATGGACGGGGAGGACTTTGACGATGGTGAGGACCGCATTAGTCACCAACCCCTACTCTTCCCGCGGGTGTCGTAAGAGGCGACTTAGGGACTACACATCAAACAGAGAACGGGCAGCAGCGCTCTCTGACAAACATCAATCTTTTAAACTGCGATCTCCAACCCGCCTGCCAAGCGTGGGGATTATGGCAAAACCCTCCACTATAGTGGAGGAGGCTCATAGTCCAGCAGTGGACTGTAAAGGGCTGTTGATGAGCACCGCATTACTTTTTTAGGATAAACAAATCTTCATAAGTATGTTACTGTTGCACACTTTCTAAAATCAGTTCAGTAAATTGTGAACATTCGTCGTTTCAGCCAAATGACGTACACTGCTGGACAAAGGCCTCCTCCAAGGTTTTCCACAATGCACGGTCTTGCGCTGCCCGCATCCAGGCTCTTCCCGCGACCTTTACGAGATCGTCGGTCCACCTAGCTAGTAGGAGGCCTGCCCACGCAAGAATCCAACTCGGCTGGGCAGCGTTCGGGAAGCTACGCAATATACTCACGTCCGCAATACCACAGTGTCTCAAGACAAAAGTCTTCGAGCAGTGTGTGTTGCCAGTGTTGATTTATGGATCTGAAACGTGGTCGCTTACTATGGGCACGGTAATACTATCTATACAGTATTCCAACTCGGCCATTTTTTTGAAAAAAATGTCAACAGCCCCGCGGTACGTCACGGTATGACAACATGCGATAGGGCTGCTTACCTACAGTACCCATTCTAATAAAATTACATCTGTCTACTTAGAATTTCTATCTAGTTTTGTGGTTGTAATTTTTTTTTATTTAGACAAACAAAATACTTTGTGAATGGAATAGGATAAAAATGCGTGTTGTTTTGTGATTAGTAGATTTAATTTAAAAAAATATACTAAAATAATTTTGAATCTACTAATCATAATGAGTACTTAATGACCTGTTACTTTAATTTCAGGCGGGCGAAATCGTTGGCAAAAGCTGGTTTTATACTATTGTATAAATTTTCATTTCAAATCAAACTGACTGAAAATGACAATTTCTGACAGTTAGTGACTAGTTTTTGACAAAGATCGTAAATGACGGTCAGTCAAATTCAATCACCTTAGTCATTTTCAACACTAGGCCATCGACGTCCGTTCGGCACATTCGCGACACCCCTAACTTTTGGATTTCGACCACGTCCCGAGATTTGAAATTCGAAGGAAAGCTCGCGTTTCGTCGGTTTATATGAAGTTACAATACTGTATGATATTATTACCGTGCTATGGGCCTCATAAGAAGGCTCAAGGTCACCCAAAGGGCGATGGAGCGGGCCATGCTTGGAGTTTCCCTGCGTGATCGAATCAGAAATGAGGAGATCCGCAGGAGAACCAAAGTGACCGACATAGCTCGCAGAATTGTGAACATTCAACCAAAGAAATCTTCTGCTTTAAAGATGTTTAATTAACTAACGCTTAATATTCCTCAGCTGGTGACGAGGAGTTCGAGGACGCGGAAGAAGAGGACTTGGCGGAGGACGAGGCGGCCGCGCGCCTGCGACAACTTAGAGTCGACTCCAACGGCGCCAACCACGTCGGTAAGTACCGCAAGGACAAGTCACTAGGGATGAAACGATACGAGTTTACAATGTTTCAACTCATGTTGTTTGTTTCCTAAATAAAGAAAAAAAAAAGTTTTTGTAATACTTCCCAAAAACAAAACAAGACTCTTTTACATAATTCTTAGGATTTTGTGCTTATTAATAAAGAAAACCAATAGTTGTTACGGTTTTTACTCAACATTTTCCAAAAACGATTCGATACGAGTAAGCATCGATACTATTCAATCGATAATGAGTAAGTATCGATACTTGCGGACTGATACTGTATCGAGTAAAAGTATCGATACCTCAATAGTATCTTGTTTCATCCCTAAAAGTCACTGATTTTAATTAATTAATTGATTTTAAAAGTCACTTAGTATAGATTGACAACTCAAGCTACGCCGCTCCTGTGTATATTTAGTGCGAGTTTACATTAAACGACATCGCTAGCGACTGCGTAAAAAATTACATGAAATATACGCCAGATTAGTGTCCCTAACGGATACTTTCAAAAATTAAAATCTTCAGATTTTTATGACACTAGCAATGATGTTTATTCTAAACTCGCATTAAGCACATTGACCAAATTAGGTGAAGCTTAACAACATGTCTCATGCAGAAAATGATGTAAAAACTGATTTTATTTTCGTTCGTTCATTCGTTTCAGCCAAATGTCATCCACTGCTGGACAAAGGCCTCCCCCAAGGATTTCCACAACGAACGGTCCTACGCTGCCTGTATCCAAGCTCTTCCTGTGACCTTCACAAGATCGTCGGTCCACCTAGTGGGAGGCCTGCCCACTCGAGTACTTTTGATTTTGTTTTAACGGCTTGAGTCCCAGACGGCATTCATTAATGTCATAACAATTGATTATCTATTGTGTCTAGATTCGCGGGCCTTGAAGGATTAATTAATAGCTATAAATCAGAAGAATTAAAATATCAATCTGTAACTATACCTATGTTTATTATTTCGGATATCTGGTATCCATAGTATTAGTACCTTTGCTTAGTTTGATGGCGCATTGTGTAATGTCAAAATTATTTATCGTTTCCCCAGACGGTGAGGACGCCGAAATTGAGGAGGAGTGATACGACGTCAACCGCAACCTCCTATGCGGCCTGTAGACCTGCTGGAACCGAAGCCTCACAATCCGGTACTAATTCAACTAAAGTCCGGTCGCCGAGCATGTAGAATTTCGTCCAATGACCCCAAGCTACCCATCCTTATCGCTCGCGCGTAATTACATTGCTGTCGCGACTGTGCGACGGGCGCCCGCAGGGAGTGTGTGTGTGTGGTAGCTTGGGGTCATTGGACGAAATTCTACGTACTCGGCGACCGGACTTTAGTATACTTTGGTCTATTCCACTTTGATCACCTAGATTTAATAACCCTTGGATAAGAAGTCCTTCCATCACCGAGGAACCAGACGCAGGTTAGCGTACCATCCCTACATTGTCGACATTCCACCAGCTCGCACTAAGCGCTTCGATGACTCTTTTATAATGTAGTCACTAGGACTGGAATTCACTGCCTTCTGCTGTCTTTCCTGAACACTATTATCCGGGCCTTTTCAGCCCTGACCCTTACAGGGCAATTATGTACCATCCTAGACTGCATCTCACTTAACACCAGATGCGATTGTGGTCAAATACCTGCCTTGTTATACATAAAAAAGACCATTTTGATCACCGAGGTGATATTATCCATAGGTGATCAAGGGACACCAGTGTCGCCTGGAATCTGCTTTGCATCACCTGGGTGATCCAATCCAGGTGATGAAAGTGGAATAGACCTATACTTTATTTATGTACACAAGTTTTTTGACGCCATTTTGACTTAGACACTCCGCAGAAAACGGATTTAGTCGGCCGATAGTTTGGTCGGGTAATCAGTATGAACATGTATGGAAGTGCGCACATTACACCGATTTGGGATCGGCCGATTCTTCATAAAAATTGGAAGTCGACCAAACTATTGGCCGACTTGCGGGGGGTCTTATTTTACTCAGAAGTATTGATGGTATTTTTAAATTAATGTTACTGACTAGAGGAATGAAAACACAAAAGACAGTAAACTACACATTGGCTTGAGGCAGTGCTTTTAACTTTCTCATATTGTTTATTTTTAAATCAAATCCTCTCTATCGCCTATTTTCACTAAATTAAATTGTTTACATATAGTATTAGACCTCTTGAATATGACCAAAGAATCTATGTTAATAGATACAGAAAAAACACTGGGCAAAAAACTCGGTCGGTACATACCTACTTTCAAATGAAGTTTTTATAAAAGTTTTTGTTTCAAGCTTCTAATATTGTTTTGTCATTTGTATCCAAACAATCTTTCCTAATATTAGGCAAATATCGATAAAGGTATGTAGGCACCTAGGCACGCTGTGTGAACATACTTTATGGGGCTATACAATATTTTTGTTATTCTCATGGTTTTTCGTTTTTCTGTATACCTAATTGATTTAAAGTTAGCTATCTCGAATGATGTCAATTTAGTAAATGAATAAAGTTTGTGAATAATCTAAACAGCATGTTGATACTGATAATTAATTATACTACTATAGTTATTAATAAACACACTTTGTACTCAATGAATATACTTTTTAAACAATATTTTTGACTACAAATTTTTTCGTGGATTGTTATCTATTAAACACATTTTAAAGAATTATTATCAGTCTAATAAGTTACTACATACGCACAAAATATATCAAAATTGTTATTTACCTATGATTATTTTACACAATTTAATTATAGATTAACTAACAATAAGTAATAGTTAATATTAGTACAACCGGATTTTAATCAGCTTCTAAAAAAAGGTTGATTCTACGCCACATTATACATTATGGACATCCCACATTTTTTTCGTTAATAATTGAACATTCTGTTTCTTTACTATCTCTTTGTTCAACTAATCCTTGACCAATACCTACCGTTTAGTACACAAGCAAGTTCCGAATCTTCTTAATAATACTTACCTGTATACATACTAAAAAATAACTAAAAATATAGGATAATGTTAAGTACCGACTATCTTAGTTGTTATTTTTATTTTACTTCTTTTTTCATTGCACAGAAGCTTACTTTGCATTTTGAATCTCCACAATAGTGTCAAAATCTCTCATCATGGCAAATGTTATTTTTGCTAAGATTTAAAAATTGCTATTATAAAACGCCGTTCAAAATTGTTTTTTCATTGCAATTTTTAGACATTTCTTGAATTCATAAGGTTGAATGTGTTTTGTGTGTTGTTTTATAATACAGATCGGTACCTTATGTATTTGTTAGGACTTAGGATCATAATTATGAACACGCTGTATACCTAAAATAATTCTAGTTAAGTCCACTTAATGTCATCGATGTTAGTGTTTGTATAAAATTAAATGTTGTGGTTATGTTGCTGAGTTGACAGTTTTGTTCTGCATAAATAAGTTAATATTCGAGCATTCAAAATAACAACAGTGTTTGTTACTCTTGAAAAATTGGATGTGTTGAATGTGCTTATAAAATGTGTAACATTCCGAGAATATTGTTGTTTTTTTGGGTAAATGTTATAAAAATGAAATGTGATTTGTGACTGATAGTGCCGTATACTGAAATTGTATTACCTAACGCCCGCTACTTTGAATGGTCAGTTGTCAATATTCTACAGTTAATGTGTATTCAATTTACCCATAAATATTTCAGACTTTTTGATCAAATCATTATGAGGAGGTCCTTAGGAGAACCAAAGTAACCGAAATAGTAGCCCGCAGAATTGCCAAACAAGTGGCAGTGGGTGGGGCTCATAGCTCGTAGAAGGAAAAGCACAAAATATTAAAACAAAACGTCGTAATTTTCAAAGATTTCTACAGTCAGCATCAAATAGTTTATGACACCCAAAGTGGCCAAAAAGTTACAGCTCAAAGACGTGTTGCCAACTTTTTGGCTACCCAGTGCTTCAAATACGCACCATTGAAGCCATTAAACAGAATAATATTATAGTGCTTTGGGTGTCATGAACTATTTTACGCTGACTATACTTACTGACCTCTGAATCAAAGCAACGGGCGGTAACAATTAAAGATTGTCCGTATATTTTGTACTTTGATGTATGTATATTGACGATATTTTTGTAATAATTTTGCGATATAAACATTACAAAATTGCATCGTTATGAAGTTTCAAAGCTAGTACATAATTTACTAGATGACTAGTCATAATAAATGCTTCTTTTTGCAATGGCTGTATAATAAAGAATATTTTTCACCTGGTAAGAAACATTCAGGATGTCATTTATTTTATATCCTATTGATGGATGCTCAAAAGCCTGTAACTAGCATAGAATTTGTATGATGTGTAGATTCTGCAACTTTAATAAATAAACCATATCAATATGTGACTTGTGCCTTTTAATTTTATGTTTAAATTATACCTTTGTAGCAACACTTGATAGAGTAATTGTGCGTATGTCGCACTGAAAATTGCGTTTATGAAGCTAGTTCAGGATATATTTTGATTAGAAAGTGGACTGTATCAGGTTATGTAATGGAAAATTGATGACGACAGTCCTCGCAAATAACAATAAACAGGTAAAGATCGTTTCATCCACGAAGACGCGCCCCACCTTTCTTCTGCTAATGTTTGAGTGTTATCGGTACACGCTAAACCATCCATGAGTGCACACGCACACTACAATAATGCCGCTCGGATCAAACTCCCCGCACCCCGCGCTTCCCTCGGCCAAAAATTGGTGGGGCGGGTCTTCGTGGATGAAACGATCTATAACAACTGTCTACAGTATTTTTGCGCACGGGTTATGCATAGCTTATTTTTATTGCTTTATAACCTAGAAACATGCTAGAAACAAGAATAACAACAAAAAATTGTTCTGATTTTGCTTTTATNTCTCTTCTCTAAATATAATGAGACCGCTCGGACACCGAGCCCACAGCGTGGTAGGGGTGGGGTTGCCCGCTCTTTTGTTTTTTAATACTACTACGCTGAATATTGTGTGCGGATTGGGTTGTCGTACAGGGGTACTACATGGTAAAATAAATCTCTTCGGCGAAAACAGGATAATTTAGATCGAACTTCACTTGGTAAGTTCGTTTGATCATTCAATTATGAAACGCCGTTCAAAATGTTTGTTTCATTGCAATTTTTAGATTAACATTCTTGAATGCATAAGGTTGAATGTATGCGTTTTGTGTGTTGTTTTATAATACAGATCGGTACCTTATGTATTTGTTAGGACTTAGGATCTTATGAACACGCTGTATACCTAAAATAGTTCTAGATAAGTCCACTTAATGTCATCGATGTTAGTGTTTGTATAAAATTAAATGTTGTGGTTATGTTGCTGAGTTGACAGTTTTATTCTGCATAAATAAGTTAATATTCGAGCATTCAAAATAACAACATTGTTTGTTACTCTTGAAAAATTGGATGTGTTGAATGTGCTTTTAAAATGTATAACATTCCAAGAAAATTGTTAGATTTTTGGGTAAATTTTATAAAAATGAAATAGTGACTTTGATAGTGCCGTATACTGAAATTATACCTACTTGACGCCCGCTGCTTTGAATGGTCAATATTCAACAGTTATTGTGTATTCAATTTGTCCATAAATATTTCGGACTTTTTGATCAAAGATCTGTAGGAATCAAGGTAACCAGAAAGCAGAATTGCCAAACAATTGGCAGGGGCTGGGGCTCATAACTCGCAGAATGATAGGCCTAAAGTATAACAACTTTACAAAAATTTCTGCAGGTACAGTCAGTGTCAAAATAAATTAGTTCGTGACACTCTTTTCTTTCTTCTTCTTTTATTTTGGCGACGGCTTGGTTAAAGTGGCCAAAAAGTTGACAGCTCTAAGGCCCAGTTTTTTGATTCGTAGTTAAAATAATCAATAGTCAAATTTGACAAATGTCAAATGACAAGTGGTTAAATATCAGAAAAAAATGTTTTTCTAACGATGAATATAGTTCCAAAATACTGGACTGTCCTGTCGATGACATTGACAGTGGGGCGCCACCGTCAATACCGGATCGCTGGTTCAGATTTTTGCCATGTTGGAAACCATATAGTTGAACGATGGTAGCGCCCCCCTGTCATTGAGTTTGGCGGGACAGTTCAGCGTGGGTCATCTATAGCTTGACTTTT